TGTGTGCTAGCCGTAGGCAACAGAACCTCACCACTGGACCGACCCGTCGTCCGCCACGATGAGATCTTTGAGGGCGGCTCGCAATGGGGGGCTGGGGTCCGTGAGTAGCCTGCGGCACACGTAGGGGTACACTACCGATATCAGGTTGAAACCCGGGTCCGCTGTCATGGCTAGCCCCTCCAGTTCACCTGAGTAGCGGGCGAATTTAAGGGCGCATCGCGAAACCCGACGTGTTGAGGCAGGCACAAGACAAGGCGGGTGCGAGCGAATCACACACGTTTCAGGGTCGAGTGTGGCACATTGCGCGTCGTGGCGCTAATAATGCTGGATGTGCTTTGCTTTCATGTATGAACGGCCAAACAATGCGTGGCGAACGTAAAAAAGGTAAACAAATGGCCGAAAAGGATAAAAGACGAAAATGTGAAGCCGAAAAGATTAAGCCGAAGAAGTTACGTAAAAGTTGAGCCGAAAACGTGAAACCGAAAAGGTTGAGCCGAAAACGATAGACCGAAAAGGTTTAGTCGAACACTATAAACCGAAAACGTGTCACAGAAAAGGCCCGAAAAAGTGAAACCGAAAAGGTTGAGCCGAAAAGGACAATAAACCGAAAATGAACGTGAAACCGAGAACGCAAAACCAGTGCAATGAGATTTGACCCCTTCACAATCAACCACCTTAGAGCTGTGTGGAACTCTCTTGTTCTGACCACAGGTACAGTGGTTGTTGCTCTCCGTTGTTCTCTTTCTCTTGATTAACGCTTTCCAAGGCAACCTCACAAGATCACAAGCACACACGATCACCGGATCGTCGGCACACTGAAAAGAAGGGCACCTGCCTCGGCATAAAGCCCAAATCTAGCATGACGTCACATCCTAGCATCTGCCCACGCCAAATAACCATGGTCAACCACGATCCACATGTATGTCTACCTCCCAATACCATGACACCGACAAGGTTAAACCCAAAATGACCGAAAAGGATGAGCCGAAAAAGATTAAATCGAACAGATTAAACCGAAACCGAAAAGGTTCAGCCAAAAGATTAAACCGAACAGATTGAACCCAAACCGAAAAGGTTCGGCCGAAAAGATTAAACCGAAAAAGTTAGGCCGAAAAGATTAAACCGAAAAAGTTAGGCTGAAACCGTGAGACCGAAAAGGTTAAGCCGCAACGATTAAACCGAAAAGGTTAGGCCGAAAGCATGAAACCGAAAAGGTTAAGCCGAAAAAGTTAAGCCGAAAACAAACGTGAAACCGAAAAGGTTAAGCCGAAAAGATTAAACTAAACCGAAAAAGTTAGGCCGAAAAGATGAAACCGAATAAGTTAAGACGAAAAGATGAAACCGAATAAGTTGAGCCGAAAACGTGAAACCATAAGCCGTAAAGATTAAAAACCGAAACACCTAAGGCGAAAAGATAAAACCGAAAAAGTTTAGCCAAAACGTGAATCCGAAAAGTGTGAGCCGAAAAGGTTCAACCGAAAAAGTGGAAAACGTGAAGCCGAAATAGACCGAACAGGATAAGACCGTGTCTTACGCAAGGTGTTTTTCTATGGCTTTTGGATTTGGGGGGGGTCCTTTTCTAAGCCCAAAACGTTATTTGAGCTGCTTACCCGGAGGAAAATGGCAAATTGTCACAGACCAAATTCTTACAGCCCGAATATTTCCAAGGGTTCTGGCCCGCGTGCTTAAAAATTGGCCCATTTTCTAACAGCGATCGGGTTGGAATATCGCTGTTAGAAATGGGGGGGGGGTCACCCCCCGGCCACACTACCGTCGTACCAGAACGAGGAACTACACGGTATGCTGGCCAAACAGAGGCCAGTATCATGAGGTGATGCACAGTTCTTCTGCAGGTATCTATAATTCAGGGCGTTCTGCGTCGTGTTGGCCACACATGAGCCGAAAAAGTCTACCCTGCCACATTGCTCTGCTGACCTTCTTGCCTTTCGGCCGAAAAGAGCCGTTTTAACGCCTGCTGCATGTATGACCAGTTGAAAACGCACGCCAGAGAGAGGCTTTTAGGCCATCGATATCCACCGACTGCAGCTAATGGCGTGTGGTCATACATATACCCTCTGCTCGCGTCCCAGAAACAGAGCGTATTGTCCAGTTTTGAGTGCACGCAGCCTACAAACAAACGTGAACCAAACTGTGTTATGGTGTTGACTTTTTCACTTTTTTTTCTTGTTCAGCGCTTGTGTGCTCTGTGTGTCACCCGCTAATAGTCAAAATAGCATGCCAGAGGGAGGCTTTAGGGGTGATGTCAGCAGGCAATGACGTGTGGTCATACACATGCAGGCAATGACGTGTGGTCATACACATACCCTCTGCTCGCATCCCAGAAACAGAACGTATTGTCCAGTTTTGATTGCACACTGCCTGCAAACGTAACCGAATTGTATACTACGGTGTTGACTTTTCGGACGTTGCCTTTTTTTCATTATTGCTGCGAGTGTGATCAGTCCAAAACGCATGCCAGAGAAAGGCCTTTGGCCGATGACATCCACAAACTGCAGCCGATAGCGTACGTGTGATCAAACACATGCCCTCTGCAAGCGACCCAAAAACAGGGCGCTCGGTGTCTTGTTGGTCGCAAAGGAGCCAAAACCGTGAACTCAAGCATGTTGTAAACCCACAAACCCTTCAATCGTGAAACCGAAATGGTTATAACCCGAAAAAGGACCGAAAGGGATAAGCCGAAAAGGATGAGCCGAAAGGATAAACCGAAAACAAACGTGAAACCGAGAACGTGAAACCAACAAGGTAAACCGAAAAGGACCGAAAAGGTTTAGCCGAAAATATTACAATATAACAAACAGATTAAACCGAAACCGAAAACTTTCAGCCGAAAAGTTTAACCCCAAAAGAACGAAAAAGATAAGTCGAAAGCATGACACCGAAAAGTTGAAGACGAAAAGGAAGGATAAACCGAATATGTGATACCGAAAAGGTTAGACTAAGCCAAAGAGGATAAACCGAAAAAAAACGTGAAACCGAGAACGAACAAACGTAACACCGACAAGGTTACACCGGAAAGGACCCAATCAGCAATAGTGTGTGTGTGTGTGTTTTCGTCTTATTTATTATGGCGACAGTTCCCCCATATTTGCGGTGAGACTTACTACACTATTCAGTGTATGTAGAGTGCTACACTTAACATTTTTTTTTTCTGTACAACTACAATCATCCAGGGTCACACGGTTTATTTCGTGCCCGACCTTCCTGCGGTGTGCTAATTTTTTGCTTTTATCGCGAGAAGGGTCCAGCCGTTCCTTTCCCTCGCCAACGGTGCTAACGTCGAAATTTAGTACTCACGAGAGCTTTTGTTAGCTATTTTTTGCTTTCACCCGCAAATTTTGTAAATTGTTCACCCCATGGGGATGCCGACTCAAGACCTTCGCGACTTGCGGTTTTCGAAGATACCGCTAGACCACCGGGGCGACCGGCATGAACTTACATTGAACTAAATCGTAACAAACACCTAAGTACACCCAGTCGTGCCCCGCTACCCTTTCCAAACATCCCGAGACAAACACTCGAAGCGCGTGCGATCTCGACACTCGCTCACCGAGGGCCCTAACGTTGCTGATGAAGTACGGGGGCACCCGAAAGTTGAAGGACCTCGCCAGGAGGAAGACGCGGTCGATCAGCTGCGCGAACGCCACACGCTCGGACCCCGAAGGCGCCCCGTTGCTTCCGAAACCGCCATCTAGTCCCTTCGGCGTTGTCATGCACACGACGAAGCAAGACGGGGTCATGCAACACCGTGATTATCCTGGATTATTATCTGCGGGTAGAGGTGAAGTCACTGTGTTTCTGCAAGAAAATAAAACAAAAAAACGACGATGGAGACGAACCACGACGAAACACCAAACGGTAGTGGACGAAGACAGTCAACTTCGGTCGGCACTACCGGCCCAGAGTGTTGAGTGATACTATGGTGCATCGCCCACACAGGAGTGCGGTTCTTCCCTTGGTCGTTTCCGGCTCATCGAGCTGTCGAAAATGCGTATCCGTCCGTGTTTGAGAGGGAGAAACAAAGAGAGATAGAACGTGTCTGTCATGTGCGCTCATTCGGTTAGTTTGACTTTAACCGTCACGGGTGCATCCGACGAAAAACGCTGCAATGTTCTGTTGTCTTGGCACTAAACACTGTTCCGGTCCCCTCTCAATTGTACCTTCAAACACCCGTACCGGTACAACTGAACCCTTCGGCGGTCACAAGCCAATTACCCAAACAAGCAGCCAGCACACTTCGAAAAGGGAAAATAAAAAGTACTGAGTACGATCAACACACAACACACAAACTGCTGAGCAGCAGATACGAAAGCCGAGTAAGACCCCTAAACTGCCTAAACTGCTCTCTCTCTCTCTCTCCCTCCCTGTGTGTTCGACATCCCTCACCATCTGTCGGCGGAAGTCGGCAACGATGGGGTCCAGGGCCGCCTCCAGCGCGGCGGCGAACGGCTCGAAGTCCTCCAACAGGTCGCTCTCGCTCATCAACGCTAGTGCGGGGAAACCTTTGGCAAGCGCCACATAGTCCCTTTGGATGACAGCAGTCGGTACATGTGTATTTTTGGTCTTGTTTATGAGACTGATGTCCCAAGGTGCACGTGTGGACAAGTTTCCTTTGGGATGTGTGGTGTGCATACACATCGGTTCAGCCTCTTGGGGAGAGGCTGAAGGGTACGGATAGTTGTGTTGTGAGTCAGGGGGAAGCAACCCTGGTTGCAGCAAGCTTCAGCGTCCATCATGCACTGACTCTACCTGGCTCTATCTGTGGCAACACCCCGAAGGTTGATCTCCGACAGGTCATCTGACGTCACAATCTACAACGGTCTGAAGTGGCATTAACAGCACCCCCCCATTTTCAATCTCGGGACCTGAATCCTGATTGAAAGACGCAAGACAAGCTAACGATACGACCTTTTCATAATATCGCGCAGAGAGGTGCCGCATAGACGAACGACGAATGGTGGCTACGAGTACAGCAAACGATGTGCTGTAGCATGAATTTGACGCTGTTGGTGGGTACGCCCACGTTGGATGCAACACTTCGTGAAAGTCGGTAGGCGGAGCCTAGTTCGCGCTGCCGCTGTAGGCCCACTATGAGACGGATGTCTCCAGGTTCACCTGTGGACAAGTTCCCCTTGGGATGTGTGGTGCTCATACACATCGGTTCAACCTCTTGTGGAGAGAGTAAAGAGTGCGGATAGTTGTGTTGTGAGTCAGGGGGAAGCAACCCTTGTTGCAGCAAGGTTCAGCGTCCATCATACGCTGACTCTACCTGTCGCAACATCCCGAAGGTAGATCTCCGACAGGTCATCTGACTTCACAATCTACGACAGTCTGAGGTGGCATTCACATACTTCATTTTTCCGTTTTTGGTCGACCACGGCGGCATCAAGGATGGGGAGGGTATGGGCGTGGATAGGTTTAGTTTTGTTCTGTGTCGGCTTTGCGGGGGGTATGTGCCGGGTGCACGGTTACTGGACTTGACGGCTTCTGCAGGTGTTCAGGTGCTTGTTAATCTGCACGAAGGCCTCGAAGACGAAACCCGCGTATGGCGAACTCAGCGCGGACGGATTGATGTACGAAGCTTCCGCTGCACACAATTGCTATCTTTTCCAACAGAACCCACAAATCCACAACAACCAAAACACCCAAAAAAGTCGATAGATGCTGACGCCCCAGACCTGGTCTGTACCTGTTCATCACGTACACCGTGGCGCAGATGAGCGCATCCATAACCCCCGGAGGTATCACGCTCACCAAACCAAAGTCCTGCCCGCGGGAAGCAGAGGAACGAGACAACAAGTCACGCCACGCGGGCACCTGAACGGTCTTCCCTTTGGGCAAATTGCGGAGGCAAGAAGGGGGGTCATCTGCCCTTTGCACCACACTCTGCAGCATGTGTTGTAGCAGAAACAATGCTTACCACATGTTTTTGTGTGTTGTGTCACGGAAGTGTTTGTTGGCGCTCCCGATTGCGGTTAACACTATAATAGTTTCGTGTCTCTTTAACGGCCCCGGTGGGTACACACCCGCAAGAAGTCTCGTGGCGGACGAAACGGACGTTCGTAAGAACCTAGCAAGGACGCGCGACAAGCTCAGGGACAGCGGTCTCGAACCGAGATGCTCACAACGCTTACAACGGCAAACGGTGTTTTCTTGCAGCTTTCTCTCGAAGCGGTGCTACACGCGACTTCGAGCGCGGGTGGCGTCTCCGGCGGGGTACTAGGTTACTAAAGGCACACGCCAAACAGAGGTCGCGCGGGCGCGTCGACTGCTCGTCTATTTCCTCAAAAGACAGCCAGCGGTGGCGATGAACAACACATGTACTTGTGCGGGCAGTGCACGTCAGCACCACAGCACCTTGAGCGGACGGTCGTGACAAAACATGGTGCCCCGACTCGTACTTGCTCGTCTTTGCGGCCCTGCGCTCTCGATCTCACTTTCACTCTCACCAGATAGGCTAGACGCTTGTCGGCGGTCTTGAGAAGATTGCCGCCGTGAGGATCCTGAGACAAGCACGCGCACAAACCCTACGAAGGTCGGAAAGCATTTCCACGAAGCCGGGAACGGCCCTATTGCAGCGGGAGCAACGGCAAGCTTCTTGGTGGTGATGAACATGAACGAAAATATATAAAATCAAATACTCCTCCCCCACTCCCTATGATCGAGAAGAAACGCAAAGAAGTTGAAATGGCAGTGCCGCATGTGCGGTATGGGAGGGGGGAGGTTGCCGAGAATAACTTGGGAGGCGAAGTGGGCACCACAAGAAGAGGGGTTGACAACCCAGTGGGTCAAGATTGTAGATGACGTATGGAAAGAGTTCGAAATTGACGAAGGTGATAAACTGGAAACGGAAGATCTCGAAATTGATGAAGGTGATACACCGGAACGGAAGATATAGAGGGGTTCAAGGATAAGATATCTGTTGCTCGTGCCGAGGGAGAAGAACAGAGAATCTAACCAAAGAAACCAAGGATAAGGAGGGTCTACAGAAGTGTACGGAATGTTGAAAGAAGGAACAGGGTCCAAGGAGTACCTACATGAACCAATGGATGCGGGGACAACCCTCCAGGTCAAATTCAGGACCGGGGACATTGGCCTTCGAGAACGTAGACGCAGATTTAGTAATTGGACGATGAAGACAACAAGTCCAAATGCGAATGCGGCTCCGATTGCGAAGACCGGGTTCATGTAGATGCGAATGTCCGTTGTACAAGGAGAAGAAAATGAACATGACTGACCTGGGAAAAGTAAAAGGACGACAGAGGGAAATATTTAAGGCACGGCACAGCCAGGAGAAGATGGTAGCTGTGCTGGGACGTATTGTTTCGAAGGAGGGCTAGTCAATACGTCATCACCAGGTTATCCACTTTTACCTGCACATATTACTAGCTATTCTCTGCAAGTTCGATTGTAGACATGCCAAGCGTTCCGTGATCACAGCACAAGCGAGCAAACTGCAGGACTCCAAGCATGCATGCAATTCCAACTCCGCCGATACTCTTATCATCCGGTGAGTCATGTGTGGTCATCACTCACAGTCGCGATTACAGCTCGATACAAGCCCTCAGATCAGGTTTGTTCACAAAGGTTTCGTGTTCACTTCAGGACACTTGGGTCACTGACAGCTAGCTGCAAGTTGTCAGTCGGAATAACCGTCTCATCATTGCGCGGGGGATGGAAACCAATGGCAACTATTCCGCTGGTTCCATTATTAACCCGGCAGCGGTTATATTTATCGGGAACCCCGGGCGCTTGTGGGTAATTTCCCAGTGCCCATTATACGGGCGCGAGCTCCGGACACTTGTGCCTTGGGTCACAAGTGACTGTCATCGCACTATTTAGAACCGGTGCACTCGGCCATCCAGAACACCTCCTCAGAATAGACCGTGGTACACGGCAATGTCAACAAAGCGGCCGTACGGTACCCGCACACGATTCATACAAGGGGTGCTGACGACTTGGTCGAAAGCAATGGTTTCCAGAGGAAACGTCCTGGATACACGACCAGATTTACAGTACATAGGCCGAGACACCGCTGGTGGGGAGGTGGGGAGGACGAGTGGTGGGGAGGTGGAGAGGAGGAGGAAATATTTACCACGATGGTTACAACGGTTCCTTTCGAAGCTACTCTTGCTAGTTCGAACCCGGCGCGCTGTACGTTTTTTTGCACAGCCCAAAGCTAGGATATAGCGCTATCCCTAACCCCAACCCAACCGACCCGACCCAAACCTATGGCATTGAAAAGTGCTAGGTCACTGTACCAAGCAAGCCTAGCTAGGCCGCGGCAAGCCGCGGCGCTAGTTTGCTGCACGGTGAAAAAGCTAGGTTGCTGCACCGTTCGCGTGCTAGGTTGCTGCTGTCCCGAATAGGCTAAGCCGCGGCGCAGGAGGAGGTAAGGGCTAGGTTGCTGTACGGTGAAAAGCTAGGTTGCCGTGCTGGGCTGTACGTACCCAAGATATGTTCCGATAAATGGTATTCCAACATGGGAGACCACCGCTTTCGACCAAGTCGTCAGCAATGTTGTTTCATACTCCCCTGCCCAGACAAAGTCTGGGTCTCCTCCGGTGCGAAGAAGGAGACAGCGCAACACTTCTACACGTTCTCCCACTGCCGACACATACCCCCAGGCTGCCAGATGCCAGGGCGGGCTCACGGCAGTGGTAGCAGTCCGCCGTCCAGGGTCAAGCAGGGAAGGACGGCCGGGAGTGACGCCGATGCCCGCATCCGTTTCCCGCTTCATAAGTTCATCCCAATCTCCGTCCGGGTACTCCACGCACCAGTAAGGGTCGCAGTAGTTGAAGACGGTCGCCTTGAACCTTGAGGTGGCCGTCACTGTCGGTGAACTCACGGCCGACCGGCGTGCCCACCGGGAAGAGCTGCATCGCCTGCTCCCTGGACGCCACTTCGCGCTCGCCCCGGGTAGGCGGCCCGGCGGGTCGTGGGGCCGCGTCCTCGCAAAGGCAGGCCTCGTACAGAGTGCGTGAAAGACGTCCAGCTGGAACGGCGAAAGGCTTTAGCCGGTCTCGTCCTCAGTCATCCAGGGCCAGAGAGCACCGTCCTGGTAGCGGCCTTGGTACTCCCAGGTCCACGTCGGCGTGTTGCTGGTACCGTGTACCACCCGCCTGTCCACTAGTCTAGCGTGTACAGCGGCACTGCGACGACGGAGGCGTCGGCCAGGCCGAGGTCAGCCGACCACACGAGGTGCGCAAACTCACACTCGAACGGCAGCCGAAGATCCTGCGGCCGTACAAGGTAGGGCTTGAGATCAGGCGTTGCCACCTTGCGTATGCAGACCTGGCGGCCGTTGAGCTGGACCGTGAAGCTCAGGCGGTCGTGGATGACGTTGGTGACCTTCCATGGGCCGGTGTAAAGATCGTGCGCAAGCTTCGAGTGGTGGCTATCCTGGTGTGTAGCGTGTTGGTCGTTCCTTGACGAGAACGGAGTCTCCAATGGCGGCTTTGGCCCCGGGTGACTCCCGCGTCACTCGGGCGTTGTAGCGTTTCCGATGACGATTCTGGGCCTTGTGCCGATAGGCGATGATATCTCGAGTCTGCGTTGTTGGTCGGCGACAGTCCGCTCGAGTCCCTGGCCGAAAGAGCTGTCGTCCAAATGACGACGTCGATGTGGCTGCGTGGTTCCCGGCTGGATACGGTAGGGGGGATTACACCGGGCAGGGACGCGTCGGGCGTAACGCGCTGGATCCAGGTCGCCACAGGTACGAAGTCGTCCCACCGCTTGGGCCACGCGGCGCACAGGGGGGACAGCGCCTCGTTCAGCCACCGCCCCAACCTCTCAACCGCCCCTTCGGCGCGGGGATTGTTGGTAGGGCCGCAGTTCAGCGGCCTTCAGGCGTGGTAGAGGCCCTGCGTCACCTCCGCGGTGAACTCGCTACCCGGGTCGCAGCGGATCGAGAGGGGCAGGCCAAAGATGAGCAGGAGCTCCAAGAGCTTACGACTCACCCCGATAGCTTCCTTGGACGGGAACGGGAAGGCCGCGAGGAAATTGGAGGCTCGGTCGATCACCACGAGCAGAGAACGGTTGCCGTCGTAGGAAGTTACCTTGAGGTCTTGGAGTCCATCTAGAGCACCTCCCATGGCTGAAGAATTCGCACCGGCATCTTGGGTAGTTGCTTACTCCAGGCATGCTTTCCCCGGCGGCATCTACAGGACAGTACACAGACTCGGACGTCCTTCTTGAGGGTCGGCCAGGTATTTCCGCTCAATTTAGAAGGTGGTGCGTGCCGCTCCAGGCCGTACGTACCGTGGACCAGCGCCAACACGACGGGCACCAGTTCTTTGGGGACCGCGATCGCGTCCGCGCGTCCGCGCGGAGCGTGCCACAGAAGGTGGTCGTCGGCCAGGACGTAATCGTCGTCCTCTCCACGTCCCGCTTCCAAGTCGACTCGGAGGCGTTGAAGTGTTGGATTTCGTCGCTGAGCCTCGACAAGTCGGACAATGTCGCGTAAAAGTGTCCTCCATCTGCTCTAGGTTGGTGGAGAGACCCTGTCGTAGCTCCGGCGTGTCCAGCGGGGTGTTGTCGTCTAAGAGGGTCTCCTGCGGCATCGCTGGTGCAGGGGGTGGCGTCGAAGGCGGTGGCGCGGCCGCTGCCGGCGTGGGGCCGGCATCCGCGTCAGCAGGTCTCGGTTGTGGCGGAGGAGGCGGTGCCGGGCCTGAGGTGGGTGCGGCGGAAGCCCTGGGGTCCTTGTCCACGGGTTCCCCTGCACCTGGCTCCGTGACGTGCGGGGCCGATGGTGACCGGCGTGCAGGCCCCGTCCCACGGGGGCGGCCGCGACCACGGCGTTCGCCAGCACCTGCCGTCTCCCGGGGTGACGGTGCGGCGGTGGGTGTGAGCGTCGACCGCGCGGCTCGGCGAGTCATACCCCTCGTGAACCGAGGGATCACGACGAAGTACGACGTGCCCTCAGTCTCAGCGTCGATGGCGAAGATGTCGTCGACGGGGTCTGTCCACAGGCTAGCCAGCCCAATCGTCAACTCGTTGTCTATGCTGCCCCGTTCGTCGGCGTTCTGGTTGACGATGCCGTGGATGCCCAGCGCGCTGAAGGCTTCCCGTAGCATGGGAGGCACGGTAAACTCCTCGAGCACCCACGCAGCATCGATCCATCGCTCGCTCGGCGAAACGTCGAAGACCGGCTGGCAGTGGTGAGCTGCACAAATTCCTCCTGTGACAGGTCCTGTGAATCGGCCAAGGGTCCGTCGTCTGCAAGGTGAGGCTGGTACTCCGCCAGTCGGCGACCCATGATGCTCCCATGCGTGATGGTGACGGCAGGTTGCACGAAGTCGACGACTCCTTTGTTGCCGGCGGGCTCTCCAGGAAGAAGTGGCCCTGGCGTCCCAACAGCGCACCAACGGTCGGCTGCGTAGCCACTTTCTGCGGTAGACGTAGCTTCCAGAGGGTCAGCTTCGCCGCAGAAGTCTCGGGAGTCATGTCGGGCCGCCGCTTGATGGCCACGACGAAGACTCCATGCTTCCCGGTAAGGACGCCCTTATCCGTGGCATGCAGGGTGGCATCCTCCACGGTGCACCGCACCTTTTCCAAGCATGGTCGCAGATGGTCGCGCCAGGCCGGGGTCCGCGAGAACCCTGCGGTGCACTCCATAAGCAGGAGTTGCGCCCGAGAAGCGATAAGGTATGGACGATTTCTGTCGCCTGGCACGCGGCAGTTTCCGCCTGGCTGTGAGCGTTGTATCGGCGGCAGACATTGTCGATGAGGACCTCTGGTCGCGCCTCCGCCAGTGTGTGCATGCACTGCTGGCCTGAACGGGGCGAGCGATCCAGGCAGGTTCCCTGGTTTCAGCTGTTGACACCGGCACACTCCAACATGATCCAATCCGGTTCGACCGGGGTCTGGGTGTGCAGGAGGTCCTGGAGTGCCAACAGTGTTCCACAGGCTCAGCAGACGAGGACGACAGCCCTTGGCAGTCTGGGACCCAGGGCGAACCGCGTATCCTCGTAGATCCGAAGTGGTGGCAGGTCACCATCCTCCGGAGGCTCCGGCGTGAGCTGAAGAGCGCAGAAGATGGCCAGGATCATCTCCGACACATAGGAGGGCTCGGTGGGTCCTAGCGCGGCGAGAGGAACGCCGACGAACACTGAGTCGCCGCCACGCGGTACCAATTGTGTGGTGTGGTCCTTCAGCGGCACCGTAGCAACCGCTTTCAGGAGTACCCAGGGTAATATCTGCGAGTCGCGTGGGCACGCACTTTCGGAATGGCGTTTTCCCTGCTCCCATGTTTTGCCTTTGCTTTGTGCGTGCTCTGGCAGTTGTGCCCTTAGTACTACCTTCAGCATTGCTTTTCGGCAGGGACAAAGTGGTGAATCTGTCCTTACGATAGTGGGTATCATTGTAGCACACTTTTGGTGTTCGACTTTTTTTTTATGGAGCTCAGGATTCGCTTGTGGGGTGCTGACGATGACATGATGGACGTAAGGAGCATATAACAATACAATTATAACAATATGAAAATAAAAATACAAGGATGGGAGGCTTCTCCGTGCCGTGTGTTGTGATATTAGCGTCTCTGCCGAGACGCCTTACTCCTCGCGGCGCAGCATCCCGTCGTTCATCCGCGAGTGCAACAACATCCAACGCTGCAACTGACGTGACCACCAGGACTACACCGTCTACTACCTGTCGAATTTTGCACCCCACGACCGAATCCTGAGCTCCATAACAAAAAGTCGAACACCAAAAGTGCGCTAAAATGGTACCCACTGTCGTAAGGACAGATTCATCACTTTGTCCCTGCCAAAAAGCAATGCTGAAGGTAGTACCAAGGGCACAACTGCCAGAGCACGCACAAAGCAAAGGCAAAACATGGGAGCAGGGAAAACGTCATTCCGAAAGTGCGTGTCCACGTGACTCGCAGACATTACCCTGGGTACTCCTGAAAGCGGTTGCTACGGTGCCGCTGAAGGACCACACCACACAATTGGTACCGCGTGGCGGTGACTCAGTGGTCGTCGGCACCCCGCGGGTGGCCGCTCGGGCGGATGGTACCCTCGCCCAGCAGGTGTTGTACGGTGCGCTCTAGGTGGGAACGCCAGCGCACACTGCTGCCTGGGTTGCCTTGAGGTGTATGATTGATGACGCGGTAATCGACCACTGCACGGTCGGGGAGCTGCAGCGGGTCGATGGGGTCCAACTACCCATTGGATTGACCGCCGAGGGGGGCACCCACGGGTCAGTGGGGGCAACGAAGGCGGCGTCGTCCGGCTAGTGACTGCTGTCGCTGCCTTCGTCCGCGGTGACGGAGGCGGTGTCGTCTGATAGGATCTCGTCTTCCGATTCCGAGGTCAGCGATGGGGGCCCTTCGGATTCGGTCGAGTTGTCGTCATCATGAACGTAAGGTTGCTCGGGGTCTTGGTGGTTCGTGTTCATGTTGTAGTCGGCACTGTTGTGCGGCAGTGTGGGTCCAGATTTTGTGGTCACATGGGTTGTTGCTGGACGGTGAAGTGTCTTGTGGGTTGATGCCGGTTTGTTGTGTGGTCATGTCCGGTTTGATCGCGGTACATGCCGTGTGTGTTTTGGGTTGAGCATGGTTGGTTTGTATATTTTTTGGGTTGTTGGAAGGTGTCGGCGTTGTGACTTGGTGGAGATGACACGGAGCTCGTGGTGGCACAATCCAAACGGTAACGACGCTGAGGGCGTCCCTCACCTCTCGACGGGGACAGATACAAAATCAACGAAAATAAAACAGAAGCCGCGACGGTGGTCGCTACCGCGAAGTGTCGGTGAGTGCCTCCGTGGCCAAGCGCACGCTCTCACTTGTGACGGCAGCGCCCGCGCCCGCTGGCAGCAACCTTACCCGCGTGAGGGCGGCTCCCCGCAAGCGAACGCGAGCTGCAGCGGCTGCCGCCGCCGCTACGGCCTCCCCCGAGCCCGCTGTACCCTCCAAACGGCTCAAAGGAGGACAGCACCGTCGCACGGCGCAGTCAGACAATACGCGGAATAGCTTTAGCATGCCCTCCTGGAAATTCCAAGCGGCGGCGGCAGCCGCTGCCGCTCGCGCCCGCTTGCGGAGAGCCGCCCTCTTGCGGGTAAGGTTGCTGCCAGCAGGCGCGGGAGCTGCCGTAGGTTGAGGTTCTGGGGCAAGTGCGGCGAGTTGTTCGTCCATCGTCACCGTGAACCTGGGGCGGCTATCGGGCGGGTCGCGGCGACGGTTGTTACGGTTGTTACGGTCGTTGCGATTGTTGCGATTGGTGTTGCTGCCGGTGACGTCGTTGGTGCGGCGGTTGTCGGTGTTCGATTTACGGCGGCGTGGCATGAGTGCGAGGTTGACGCCCAGGCGTGACATTCGCTAGTCTCATAGGACCGTGCGCAGGTAGAGGTCTGGGGCTGGGAAAAAAGGCATGTAGGATGATGCACGACGCGCGATACGCAGAGTTTAGGTTGAGAGGTGGATGGTGGGACGGCCATCCCCAGCACGGACAACACCAGGTGAAACCGACATGGGACGCGCGGACGCACAATATGAGAGGGTACGTCCTACCGAGCTGTAATCGCGACTGTGAGTGATGACCACGCATGACTGACCAGATGATGGAGTATCGGAGGAGTTGGGATTGCATGCACACTTGGAATACCGCAGCTTGCTCGCTTGTACTGTGATCACGGAACGCTTGGCATGTCTACAATCGAAATCACAGAGGTAGCTAATACTATGTGCAGGTGAGAGTGGATAACCTGTTAATGACGTATAGACTAGCCCTCTCTGAAACAATATGAAGTGGATTGAAAAGGCGGGAAGTGATACCGATAGGAAGACATGTTTGGGCCACCTTTGGCAAAGTAGGAAGGAACGATTGGCCATCGGTAATCAGTCCTGTGGGAACAATGCTCCGTTCTCTCGAGGACGCGTGGTCAATGGTCTATCCGCCAAGGCACGCGAAACATAAGAGTACCCCCCTCCCCCCCACCGCTTTCACCCAGAAATTGACTACAGAGCGGACCCCCCGCGTTCGCTCATTTGAACGTTCGGGTTTGACCTTGAACGAGGACAACCGAAACAAAACAAAACACACAAGTGAGCACGATCGCCCAACGTGCAGAACGTTGTGAGGGCACCAGCGACTGACTGCCACGGTGTCATTCCGTGGTCTGACGTAACACTACCAATCGAGTCAGGACCGGAAGATACGGTCGTCTGTTTATTCTAGTGGCAGTTCTCGTTCTTTGGGAGGGCGACCACGCAGCGAGGTCGTCGACACACACGCCCGTATGTCGTTTGCCTCGAAGTCTTGTGGTGAACGGTGGAGAGAAAACAAGGCCGGAACGGAGAACGAAGGGGAGAAGCACGGACGTGCGCAAACAGCTCGCCGAGAATGGACGTCTCCCCTTTTCTGACAAAGACCATTTTTTGTTGTTTTCGCAGGCAGTAGCACGAACAAAGTGCAACAAAAGCGCCCCGCTCCTCTAGCGCACGAGAACAACGCGAAACCTCACCGCGTGCAGGAAGCCCTTGTCGAGAAGCTGCGTTAGGGTGCACTCGATGCCCACCCGGAGGATGGGGAGGTCCGCCGGGCTGACCTGCGCCTGGTTGTTCACTAGCTGCCACCCTCCGCCAGGGTTGCCGTTTGTGCGGGCATTCCCACACGCAGGGGAAGAGCGGACGAGCGTGGCGGAGGAACGCGACGAAAATCGACAGCAGGATAAGGGTTTTGCGTACACCGAGGGACAGGGGGTGCGGCACCGTGTTAACCACCGCACCGTGAAGGAGGCCGCCATTCGTTTGGCTTCGATTGACGGTCGTACCGATCGGCAGCGTGATGATAGCCACAGAGGATGTTGAAAGGAACATAACGAACTTTATGACACTGAAGCGGTAAATGATGCAGTTTTGCCCTGTGCGGCTGCACATTTATCGCAAGGAAATTTGGCAACGACATTATGGGTAAGCAGGGCACGTTGGGGGTCAAAGGTGAAAAAAATGTAGGAATGCGCTGTAACGTCGGGAAAAGGGGCCGCGAAAAAGTGCATGAGCGACGGCAAACAAGAGAGGGAAATATGGGAACATGACCATGCTAGGAGCTGGAGCCCTCTCGTCATCCAACTATTGTCAACACGCGAGTGCCGCCTCCCTGGTCAAAACGCGGACAATTAACGGCAAGAGCGATAACTTGGTGCATGCTCGCTGTAGTGGTCCCACACACGATCTTGCGCTACTCACAGCCTTTACACACACACGACACGGTTTGGATTGTTTTTGCCGACATGCCCCCCCCCCCAAGCCCAAACCATGAACGTCGAAGGCAAGCTAGCTTGCATACACCCCGCCTAGGGGCTACGCTCTTCGACTGTACCATCAAAGAGTCGCATCCAGCAGCGCGTGTGTCCGCACCAAACACATCAACACGAGATCGTCTTGCGACAGCTTGCTGGCTGCAGCCCACTCTTCCTTCAAGCCTTCGTAAGGCAGATGACACAGAGCAGTACATGCGAGAAATTAAACCTCAAGGCTATCCTTCACCTTTCTGATGGGCCTCGGACGCTGATCGACCGACACCTGGCTGACGGTGTGATGAAAAGCTACTCCGTTCCAACTGTTTTTAATTTTTATGTTGAGAGCTCCATTGTCTATCACGGCGCCTAAACTATGGTACTACATACCTTTTCTCCCTCGATCCATTCGGACGTTATGACTCGCTTCGCGCTGTAGTCTAGCAGCACCTTCGGAACAAGTATGCCGGGCATAGCATGGTATAGCTCACGAAATTGCACCATGTTTTGCGCCTGCACGAGCGTGTGACAGGTAATGTGATTTGGCGAGTGGGGGGCGGGCGGAGGGAGTCAAACAATTCTGTCCATCCGTAAACAGTGGGTAAAAGTGCTCAACGTGTCTGGACTCAGCATCAAGCATTACGCTCGTCTCACTGAGGCTGACACGATTTCATCGGTCGGCCGCGTGTAGCGTGGTCGGTGCTGGAAACACACATACACACCATTAACACAAACACACACGTGTGGTGTGTCTGGGGAGCCCGCAGTCTTGAGAGCACGTCCGTTCGTGCCTTGTGGCTTGTTGTAAAGCTGGCATGTTTTCATTGGTCAGCTGTTTATCGCGCCCGGTGATGACTAATGAAGCACACAACAATTTGACTTTGTGCCTCGTGCTGCACGTTGGCCAACGACACTTCACAAACCGGACGGTCAAGGCGAGGTCGATGTGAACGACAAACAAGAAACAGCAACCTGTTACTTCCGACAGTCCCTTCACCACGAACATTCAAGCAATAATGGATAATAGTAAGAGATTAATACAAAGAAGGGCAATACATATCCTCGCGATAACACAGAACAACAATCTTGACGTTCGGTCGTAAACACAAAATCGCAAAAAAACGCTTCAGCACCTCCTTCCTGTAGTCCAGCTCCTCGAACAGCCTCGACCCGTACTCGTCCACCGCGGCCACAAGGTCGCTACGGACGACCAGCCGGCCCCCGAAAAAGCTGGAGCTCCTCGACAGCCGCGTGATGGCATCCGCAACCCTGCGTGCCACGTAAAAGTCGAGTCCAACCGCCTCCAGCAGGTCCGGCCGCTGAACCTTAACGGCGACGGGCCTGCCGTTTATCTGGGCTTTGTAAACCTGTGCACGCGTCGAAGAAAAAAGGGAAATTGCCACAGTTGGAGGCTTTATCTGTCAGTCTGGGGTTTGCACGCGTGTCTGTGCCAACAGCAAATGGAGGGCCGGGGGCTCTATGATCTATCCCCGTCTCTTCGCGTGTGTTTTCTGTATCCTGCTGCCGTATCTGTGTGCCTATTTGAGGCACGCAGGTGGAATTTACAACAGTAGCTGTTGTTGCGTCTTGTTGTTGCAGGGAGCTCGACCGTACCGCACAGAAAATAAAGTGGTGGAAAGAAAACAGACGTGCATCTGCACCTGACCCAGGCTCGCAGCCGCCACAGGGGTGTCCCCCATAGATTCGAAGATGTCCTCCGGGTAGTCCCCTAGCTCCTGCCATACAGAACATGGAACACAACTGGAGAGGTGATTCATGTTCCGCCCTTGGTGGCGATGCGAAGAGTAGTATATCCGTTAGGTCGATGAACAGACACAAAATGTGCTGGTTCCGAGCAACTTTTGCTCTCACGTTCAACAGCATCCCGTACAACTTTCGTGTTGCAACCTGAATGCCCCGCTGAAAAAGCAACTCAAGGTATTAGGCCGTGCCATCCTTGTTGACTCCCCGAAAACGATGAGCGATACGGAGTAGCTTACGCCGGTCGCCGGGCAATACCCCCCTCGCCCTGCTCAAACCCTCGCGGAGGGCATGCCCCCGAACCCCCCTCCTTGTGTAACCTCCATCAATAACTTCAATACGGCATCCTGTAGCAAGTCATGTCGTCCCGAAAGACACATACCTGTCGAGATCTTTCTGCCAAGGCACAACGGTGCTGACGGTGACGGAAATAAGACACCAAAAACACACCTCGTAGATAAACCTCCTTGCCACTTCGTTGGAAAACAGCGGCATCGCGTCCTGCAGGAGCAACAGCTCTCCGGCGATAGCCTCCCCCACCAAGTCTGGTCTCGAAGCCAGCGCCTGCCCGATCTTGACGAAGTTGGGTCCGAGGCGGGTCACCGATTCCCGGATGCGCGTGGGCATGCGAATGCCGGTGTCGGCGTCGTTGCCGCTGACGAGATAGTCCATGCCCAGGGCAAGCAGGACGCCGCAAACCTCCACGAGAATCTGTGCGTACCGAGTGCCACAAGAGGTTGGAAATTCAGCTTTCCTTGCAACCCTCTAAACGACTCCGCCAACTGCTATGGCGGTGTCGATTGGTGGGTCGTGGCCTACACAATGCTCGCGCGTGTGCCAGTATTGTGAATTGCAGCAGTTCCCTTGAAACGCTGTCAAACGCTTCGTTGTGGCGGCATGCTGACGTAGAAATTTGCTGCATGTACAAAACCAGTGGTACAAAAGGGAATGTTCGGCCCTCAGTCGCGTCGCTAGTCACAGAGATAAAACGTCAACGATGGCGAGGAATGTTCGGCCCCCAATCACGCCATTTGTCACCACAGAAGCAGCGGTACATAATGCAATCTGTATGTATTCAACCGCGTCTTCGTCGTCGTCCTGAAAGACCGCAACAGCAATGCATGTTGCTTTGCGGCCATGTACCCAAGCAGCACTAAACAAGATGATACGGTAGCAAGTATGCACACCCGTGGTTGATTAGTGCGGCACACACCAGGGGCGGTTCCGGTTGGCTGCTGGCAGTGCAGACCGAACATATACCGCCTTGTGCCAGAAACTGCTGTATAATGGCATTAGCATTGTGTACATAGCTGCAGATCCTGCCGCAAATTTTCTATCCGAACTCGACTTTCTAGACTAAGCATGTTGTGAATGCCACCTCAGACTGCCGTAGATTTGTGACGTCAGATGACCTGTCGGAAATCTACTTTCGCGGTGTTGCCACAGATAGAGTAAGCGTATGATGGACGCTGCACCCTGCTGCAGAAGGCTCGCTTCCCTCCTAACTCACAACACAACACAACTATCCGCACTCTTCGGCCTCTCCACGAGAGGTTGAACCGGTGTGTACCCACACCACACATCCCAAGGGGAACTTGTCCACACGTGAACCTGGATACACCCGCCTCATATTTAGTTAGCGTCAGCACAGTGCGTGTTTTTATTGAGTTCTTCGTGGGTTGGTGGCACTACCTCGCGGTAGTTTTCACCATGGGCAACAAGAAAAAGCAGAAAAGTAAACAGGCGGAGGCTCCAGCTCACAGAAGAGGAGGAGTAAGTGGTCGAAGAGCAGGTGGTCGACTACGACCCGCCCTCTCCCCATAGGGAAGACTAACAAGATCCGGCGTCGTCCGCGGGTTCGTCGTCGTCGTCGTCGCCCCCGTCTTCGGAAGACGAAGGGCACGGACCGCACCAATCATCGGTGGTTGATGATCGTGTGGACACGTTATCGTCCTTGCAGCTGCTGGAGGCAGCCTGCAAGGAGGAGGTTAAGCGTTACCTCCGAGCGTTGCGACAGGGGCAGACCACGCCTGAGCTATCCGCAGCAACTGTCGCATGGCGGCAGCGTCTCCTTACGGAGTTGTTGACTGCCTCTTCGTCTGGCGCAACAGCGTCAACTACGTCGTCTGGAACTCGTGGAGCGGGTGCCGCTGCTGCATCGGTAAGTTCAAGTATTCCATGTTTAGCTCCGTCGTTGCCCGGGCAGACACCCTTGTCCCCTGGAGCAATACCGTCCGTTCTTTCCGCGCAGGCAAAGAGTGGATCCCTCGGCGAGTTTGTCGCTCACGGCGCCCGTAAGCACGACTACTTCGGTGTCGTGTACGTCTAGTAGTGCAAACCCAGATACTTCAACAGCACAGGTTGCACCTGCTAATGCGCAATCGTCCGTCGTAGCACCACCTGTTTCTTCAACGTCGCAGGTTGCATCTACTGCTGTAGTAACTGACTCTGCAGTCCGTACATTCCTACAAGCAGCGAAACGCCTGCGACGTTGAAGAAACAGGTGGTGCTACGACGGACGATTGCGCATTAGCAGGTGCAACCTGTGCTGTTGAAGTATCTGGGTTTGCACTACTAGACGTACACGACACCGAAGTAGTCGTGCTTACGGGCGCCGTGAGCGACAAACTCGCCGAGGGATCCACTCTTTGCCTGCGCGGAAAGAACGGACGGTATTGCTCCAGGGGACAAGGGTGTCTGCCCGGGCAACGACGGAGCTAAACATGGAATACTTGAACTTACCGATGCAGCAGCGGCACCCGCTCCACGAGTTCCAGACGACGTAGTTGACGCTGTTGCGCCAGACGAAGAGGCAGTCAACAACTCCGTAAGGAGACGCTGCCGCCATGCGACAGTTGCTGCGGATAGCTCAGGCGTGGTCTGCCCCTGTCGCAACGCTCGGAGGTAACGCTTAACCTCCTCCTTGCAGGCTGCCTCCAGCAGCTGCAAGGACGATAACGTGTCCACACGATCATCAACCACCGATGATTGGTGCGGTCCGTGCCCTTCGTCTTCCGAAGACGGGGGCGACGACGACGACGACGAACCGCGGACGAAGCCAGATCTTGAATCATCTAGTTCATGTTTTTCATCAATACTTCACAATTACATGACAATTTGTGATATTCATGTCATTCTTGTATCATTCAATCTGGATTCAGGTCCCGAGATTGAAGATAGGGGGATGCTGTGAATGCCACCTCAGACTGTCGTAATTGTGACGTCAGAGGACCTGTCGGAGATCTACCTTCGGGGTGTTGCCACAAATAGAGTCAGTATATAATGGACGCTGCATCCTGCTGCAGCAGGCTCGCTTCCCCCTCACTCACAACACAACTATCCGTACTCTTCAGCCTCTCTACAAGAGGTTGACCCGGTGAGTATCCACACCACACGTCCCAAGGGGAACTTGTCCACACGTGATCCTGGAGACATTCGTCTCATACTACATTGCACACCACGTCATCAGGAGGCAATGCTGAGAAAATGTTCTCCCGTGCCCTTCGCACATTTAACGACATGAAATTATACAACATAAAATATATGAGACACACAAGACAGCTGCAAAACTGATTTTTTGAGCCTGTTACCCGCAGGGGAGTTGTCCCTATATGCTGTCTAGGAAATCGTCGATATACAGGTAGTTTTCTCTGACGCTATGATTCCATTGTTAATCGGTCTCTGACTTTTTCCTATGATAGAGATGGACTCATTGTGTCATTTTTTGTTTTTTTTATACGGTGAGACCACGCCCGTGTGCCCGCACATCAACCGCACATACTCCGCACATATGCATACCAAACTGAAAATACGTTTGTAAACTGATGGAGATTGCATGTCCTACATTAACAGGGTGCGACACATAAAACGCCCGACTAACCAACAGTACCCAGGTGCTGGCCAGGGCCGGGATTCCCGCGAAGCTGATCGAAGTCATCCGCCAATTCCACGATGGAATGCGGGCCCGGGTGCGCATGGACGACGGAGAACTATCGGACTGGTTCTTCGTGACACAGGGCGTGCGACAAGGATGTGTGCTATCCCCACTGCTGTTCAACATCTTCTTCGCCGAGGTCCTCGAGGTCGTTGTTATCCGATTCAGCGAGGATGATGTTGTTCTGCTGAGCCTGGTGTGCTTGGAGGAGGGGAAGACAGAAGCGGGGGGGGGGGAAGAGACACCCCTTGACCGAGTACGGAGGGCAGTATGGGGGATGCTGTATGCCGATGATGCCGGCGTCGTATCGAGGTCTGCAGAAGGACTGGCGAGAATGATGACCATCATCGTTGAGGTGTTCGGGGAGTTCGGGCTAACGGTGTCGGAGAAGAAGACGGAGACGCTCCTGATGCGCGCAAAGGACAAGCCGACTACAACATCACAGCCCGCTCCGCCTCCACCGTTGACCATCGAAGCCGCGGGACAGAAATACGCCCAGACGACCGAGTTCCGGTACCTCGGTGGCCTCGTCAACGAACCTGGCGACCTCACCCGGGAGATCAACTACAGGAGCAGAGGAGCGTGGGCGTGCCTCAGGCGATATGGCAGGGAGCCCTTCGACAGACCGCAAGCGCCATTCCGACTCAAGATCCACCTGCTCCAGGCGGAGGCGATGGAGGCACTGCTGTACGGTTGCATGACAT